ATCGAAGCCACACGGAGTGTGAGAGTTACGTTCACTTTGATGAATAAATATATTTTGTCGTGTACCTCACAGTCGCACAGTTTTGGTAGCATATCTATATAATTATGCAAAACAATATGTAAAGCCCCCGGCTGTTCTACTTTTAGCGTTTGTTTTAAAACGAGAGAAAGGTCTGGTCATGTGACAGGCTATGCAAATTAGCCCGTGGCAGTGGTGTTATGCGAAGTTATGTTACTTCTAAAAACGACGATTAATTAAAAACTAGACGTAAATTTTAAGACGTTTGCGTATATTGTCTTCGGAAAATGTTTATAAATTAAGTTCAGGTGAGTAGTTGTAATATTTTCATTCCAAAGCTGGTAAACAACAACATAGATATTTTGAAATTGCGTCAGTCATGACGCAGTCATTTTTTTCTGGACGTATTTTTCCTTAATTGAGAGTCATATACGCAAGAATCCTGCATCAGGGGAAACCCTGATTTGGTATCCGTTTTTCTATGTCCCAACTGGGGGTATGGGTCGACCCGTTAGAATCTGTCAATATGCAACTGGAGTTCCCGACAGTAACACTGCAGTGTTCTGTATGATTTGTTCACACATTATCAGAACCTTATAGTGTGAATTGATTGACAAAATCATTGGAACGGATCACACTCACCGTACATACTATTCAACTTTTGAAAGGTATAGCGGTATATTAATTACATTACTCAGAGGATGGGACGGTGTACATAGATTTATCCAGCTTGAAATAAACATGACATGCGTCATAACAACATCATTAATGTGCATACGAAAACACCCCCAAAATACGTATTTACATTCAGTTCCAAGCTTCAATCGACACACTTACATACAGAGTCTGTATGCACAAAAAAGCACGGCCTAGATGTATATGGGGATCACACAACATTGTGCAACTTGTTTGAGAATAGGTAAGTAATAGGTAAGTAAGGTAGCATGAGTGATCGAGATCTCTCGGTAATGAGGTATGATTTGACGCCGGTCAACTTTCCCCCCCATACCATCATGCCGTACTAGTAAGGCTGAGACATGGAAGACTTATATATCACAGCCAGAACTTACACACCGCGTGTAGGTGTACTGGTGTCTCACATGAATATTAATTAATATCGATGTCCTTTTGTCATGTTCGATTGTTGTGTAAAGTATGGCAATATATACCGTTTTGTGGAATGACATATATTGTTAGATATTGTCAGGTATACATAAATATGCCAATCATATTCTAGTAACATAGTTCCATGCCTGGAGTGACTCCTAATGACGTAATGACTAACCACGGCTGCTGAAGATAAAGTGAAACTTGAACAAAATACCTACTTTCGGTTTATGTTGTTTCAGTGAACCTGCATCAGCCGGACAGGAAACAGTAACAGCTCGATTAATCTTACAGTACATACGAAAAAAAACCAAATACATATTTACATTCAGTTTCAAGCCTCTATCGACACAAAGTCTCTATGCACAAAAAGCATGGCGTTGATGTATATGGGGATCACACAACATTGTTGCATTTTTTAATAATTTATTGAAGATTTTCGGATGTTACCAGTGACTTCACCTATATCGGTTATTAATGGTTACATTTCCTCTGATTATATAGGTATGTCACAGTCTCTTTCCAATATACTGACTATTATACTGTTATATCCAATTTACGTTATCTAACCATCGGCCTTTGTCAGTCATGTTATGACAATATCAAAATTGTATTAGACTCTCGGCTGAATCAGAAAGTTCAACAACAAGGGTAAAATATAAGTGGAAATATGATGATAGAGATGAAGTGCGAAACCGATTAGAAGCACCAACCTTCTGAGAAATGCTGAAAGAAATTAATATTATAGTATATGTAAGTATTGATACTACTGTTGCGGAATTTATAAAGAGTATGTGGTGCACCGTGGCAATGTTCATCTTCACAGGTATAAAACAAAAATAATAAACAGCAAACGTTGTTTGATTCGGGCGTTATATTTCTTTCTTTGGAGTTCTGGTCTCTTTAATTCCTTGTTATTTGAATAGCAAACAGATGATTTAAGCATATTAGTCATTTGAAGCAGCAATCATTCCGAAAAATAGTTTCTAGCTAGTTATGTAAGGCTGCAATGGAAGGAAGGGTATTATATTTTGGTGATTAACAAAGAGATTTTCATGTTTAAAACTACCCGATTATCTATTAAGTGACATTACTGAATGTGAAGTTTTAAAATCGATAGAAAAGCTTAAACCAGCTATCTTAGTTCTATATTAAACTATTTTGTTGTGTCAGATATCGATTACAGGCATATTTCCCACAGTCGGACCACAGATTTGATTGGCCACTATCCAATAATTAGAGGTATCACACTGTTATAAGTCCTTAGTTAGAGATTAGATCAATTTGTAGAAACAAGGAATATGGTTGAAGAATACCACGGCGGTTTTAGAAAGGGACATTCTACTGCAGATAATATTAATATCCTCCAATCACCTGTCCATAAATATGTAACTCGGGGAAAGGGTACATTGGAAAAAACATTTGATCTTTTGAAAAAAAGTTGTTACGTTTTATTGTAAATTGGAGTATAGGGGAAGTTTTGTTAGATTATTAAAAATATGTATGCTAATTTATTAAGAGTATGTATGATAGTGTGAAATTGTCATAGGAAGTGGTAAGAAAATATCAGAATATTTCATATGTTCTTCTGATGTCCATGTGTGAAGCCCATTTACAGCGCCCCCCTCCGTGATATTTCTGGAATATTGCTAAAAGCGGCGTAAAACCATACTCACTCACTCTTCTGATGTCCGCCAGGGATGTACTCTCAGTCCATTACTGTTTTCAATTTTCATTGAACCCTGCAAAAGAAACTCGAAACTTGCTATATACCTATTCGCTAACATGGGGAATGGATATTAATATGGATAAAAAAAATGTAATGATATTAATGGTTTTACTCACACTCACTTTGTGCCATAAATGATCCCGAAGTCATGTGTCCCGTATGTTTAGTACCTGATTCGGAATACCATGGATCTACTCAATTGCCCACTGTACGAAAGTGAACGTAAAAAGTTAACTTGTATAAGTAATAATAATAAAGTTGATATCGTGCGTTATTTATTCTTATAAAGAGGAAACCAAGTTTAAAAAATGAACAGTTGTGTATAATATATGCCATTTCAGAGGAGACATGTGAAAGATGTATATCCCTCTGTATTAATAATATTGTTTGAAAAATATCTATAACGCCTCACACATGGGAAAGCATGTAAACACATGAGAAATGTCAATTAATATCGGCCCATAGTTATACATTTAGCTCTTTGTTCACGTAGTTCCATATAAACTGTGTTAAGGTGAGGTGAGGTGAAATGGGGTTTAACGTCGCGTCCAAGATTATTGCACTTATATAGCGACGTGCATGTACGTGTGTGTTTTTGCGTGGCTGCTTGTGCTAGTCCGGACTGATGCCGATTTATAGTGCTAGCTCACTGAGATATCATGCCGCAGTTTAACATGAATACCCCACTCAGACACAGTATACTGACTCCGAGCCGACCATTCTTTGTTTTAGCCCCTTAATGCCGAGCGCCAGACAGGGCAACAACAAGTACCATCTTTTAACGTCTTTTGGTATGACGCGGCCGGGGATCGAACCCCGGACCTTCCGCTCTCCGGGCGGACGCTCTTCCACTAGACCACGGAGGCGGTCTCTGTGTTAAGGGACAATGACACTTGGCATACATGTAATAATGTCACATACACGCACTCTCTCTTTCTCTCACACACACTAGTCACCAGAAATGCAATGAGAAATGCAGTATACAATATATCCCATGGTAGTTTGTCATTAGACTCGTGAGATATGTATTCCACTCCAAGCACAAGGTCACTAGTAACATTGTAGCCACGTGAGACACATATTTATATGTAGAAAATAATAAATACAAGATATACCAGAACGAATGAAAATACCCATCGGGATACCTCATAGTGAAACAATACAACAATAAAACGAATTCCAAGACCTTTACCAGAGAAAGACCACGTGCAGCATGTACACATCTGAAGTCATGGCATGTAAGATTGAACACACTTTCATCACTTGTCCGCGGTGGTTCTGTGGGAGGACAGTGGGTTACAATATTAAACATGATATGTGACATTTTTGCAAGTTCGATTCATGTTAAGGAATGTTTATGTAAACAAATTGTGATTTTTAACCCGTCAAAAGTCAACAGTAGATGCATAATAAATGGATATTAATCTTGGTGTGGCGTTCTTCAAATTGTGGATAAACATCAAAAGCAGACGAGATCCGTGAAATCCGGCATTCAGATAGCATAATGGAGGATGCCCTGGATTCAACGATCTTGACTTCCTTCGAGGTTTATCAACAAACTTGAGGCCCCGTAAAACAGTCGGATGACGCCACTACAGGTTTATAAAATAACTTCGTCATCCCATGTCACAAAGAGATTTTTGCCGAACAGGTTTAGCCTGGTTTCCACGTACAACGCGAGCTGGCTGGTGTGTGGTTTATTTGTTTGGGGTATAAACATGTATACATTTGGATATCCTAAAAGTAAACATATAACAACACAATGACTGACCCTATTTAGTGATTACATTGACACATAATTACATAATAACTGAAAGTGAATTGCCGAACCCCTACTTTTCCAAACATCAGAATCCGCGCAAGTTTCTGTGTATACTTAAAACACAGAGGGCAGTTTGTTTGTCTATTCAGCTTGATCTATAGCTAGATACCAGTTGCACAACCCACGGGTGATATGCACCGAACAATAAACGATTTGCACTTGTTTCCTTTATTTGATGTAGGAATGGGCGTGTTGCAAGTGGAAAGCCCTGTTAAACTTCCTGGTCGAATGGCCCACATTCCTCGCCGCAGCCTCTGAGGTTGGTTGTCAACAACATAGGTAAGTACCTGCTGGTTTTTGATATCTCACGTCCTCTGTTCTCACCGTTTTAGTGCAGAAGATGGGTAAACGTGATAGTACCATATCATAGGATGACATTTATTCTCCATGAAACCGGGTCACTATGACAACATTCCTTGGGACACTCCGTACTGTTTGCCCTGAGTATCCCGGATGGATAGGTCAAATGTGGGGTAATGTATTTTTCCGCATGGTATTAATACTGCTATATTATGACGAATCTGTTAAGGCAAACCAGTGATTGATAGCGATTCATATCGTCGAGTCAAGTGGTCATGGTTTTACCCCGCTTTAAGCATTATCCGAGGAATATCACGACCGGGGACACTATAAAAGGGCTCTACATATTTTATCCATGAACGAATATAACATGGGTATTTTAGGTTGACTAGCATACACTTTTACCTCTAGGTACAATTCGTTTCGAGATAGGGGTCACCCGGACTCCCCTGAAAGCACCATAAATGTACTGTCACATGTGAGAGAGTTGAGGTTGAACGCCACAGCATTTCAAATTAGTAGTGGTATCATTGGGCCGTCGGTGATAGAAAATTGTTGTACGGGCACCATGGGTGGATGAGTGAGAGAAAGATTTTTAAGGTCAACTATTACTATCCAAACTATTTTATGGTGACCTGTAAATAATCGAGTCCAATCCCCATTAGCTTGCTCTTTTGACATGCGGGGATACAACGTGGTGACACGCGGTCCTGTGCACAGCTCACAGGTCGCATATCAGGTGAAGATAAACAACGTCGGTCCCAGAGAGTAGCTGGATGAGGGACTGCTGAGTGTTTCCAGGGCGTCTTTTGTCCTGCCCCCAATGAAGCACATGCAGCACATGAAGCACATGCAGCACATGAAGCACATGCAGCACATGCAGCACATGTAGCACATGTGGTGTCTCCGAAGGCATGTGAGTTTGATCGAATTCACCCAGAAGTGTATGGATACTCGGTAGAATGAGATGGTAAAGTGGCTGTCAACCTTCTAGGGCCTTACAGGCTGCTTCGGTTATATAGGCCCAGGCTGGTTAGGCTCATCATCAGATCAGGGCCCTTGCCCCTTCTCCCGGAAAGCACTGCCTAGTCAAACCCACCCAGAACCTTTCGGAGAATGTGAAGACTCCCAAACACACTACCTTCTGTATTACCCAGATTGTCAGAAGGGCTGTATTCCTGGTAGCAAACCCGGGTACCCTCCCAATTTCAGTCAACAATGGGAGGTACCAAACCTAAGGCACCGATAACAATTGGGATAACAATTTATCATTTTCGATGACGCCCTCTACATATTCTGGGTCGTACCATGGAGGGATCTGTGTGTCAAAACCGCAAGCATGGCGAAGACGGTAATATAATGATCGAGCTACACCATCATGTCGTGATACTGTGTTTGTGCCAAAGCTGGGCATCCACTGCTAATGTGTTGGACTGTATCATTATATTCACTGTGACACCACTTCTGATCCCATACACTGATTATAAACCTGTGATTAGATCTTACATCCATGGTCTAATGCAAAAGAAGTGGGACACTCAAGTAGGTATAAATAAATTACATGAACTTAAACCAACTATTGGCTACACCTACTTGGGTTGTCAGTCCAGATTTGAAGAGGTCATAATACGACGATGTCGTATTGGCCATAGCAGGTATGCTCATGAATATATATTAAAAGGTGAGGATCGTCCATTCTGCATCCCCTGTGATGAAAGAATCACGGTCAAGCATGTCCTGCTTGACTGTGTTGATTTTTCCATCACAAGGGAAAAATATTTCAAATCATCATCAATGACGGATCTTTTTAATAGAATCAATTCTCATTTAATTATGGGCTTTTTAAAAAAAATTGAACTTATTGATAAATTTTGAATTGTGTAAATAGCTATTTTTTATATTGGTAATGTATAATAAGTAACTTAGATTGTTAGTGGCTATATCCTCAAAGGGGGTTGAAGTAGCGTTAAATTATTGTCCCCCTGAGAGGATATGTAAGACCACATCATTCAAAGTACATTTATGCTTACATCCGTTTTAAACGTAGTATATATGTTATTTTAACTGTTGGCTAAATTGCATCCCATCACCGGGCAGCTGAAGTGTTGGTGTAAATCCTGCTGGGGAACCGTGCAGGTAGCATAAGTAATGTAAGTCCCCACGGTCCTTAGTGAGGTGGCCTCACTTTGGTTGCTGGTGATCTATAGCCCATTTTTATATTGTATTGTTGAATGAAAATGTATTCTTTGAACTGTTCTCAACTAGTTTTAAAATCGAAACTGTGATACTCCAGTTATCTTATTGTCCATCGTTGACAGCTTTTTAATTAAATCAAAATATAATAATTATAACTGTTTCGTCACGATATGGCTGAAATATTGCCGATGTGACGTTACATTTCACTCACTCACTCATTTAATTCATTACATAATATACATTTCATATTTACATTTTGATACAAAATCACACATTGACGGTTTCGAGTGGGAAGTGACTGGTCCTGAGCAGCAAACAGAAAACCTTCTGTTTCACTTTTCAGGCCAGCCGACTTCATCCAAGCGAAAGACTCTGCAGGGTTGCTGATCTTCTCAACACACTAGCCTCTCCTTGAAACTCTGAGTCTGTGCCGACTTGATATGGCACTTCGCTTGGTTGACACTCATTTCTGTACCGTCCAGCAGTACAGAGCCATCAACAAAATCAACACTGATTATGTCCCACATCCTTGGCTCGTTTACGAAAACTGTGGAATGCCTTGTTTTCATCATGATTGTGGACATGCTTCAAGAGGATCATCAGACAAATAGATGTGTGCAAAAGAGCACAAAACAATTCTATCATGAAGAGCCCCAACGTTAATCAAACCACGCCCTCCCATTATGATTGGTAAATATAAGCGATTGAGGGAAGAGCGAGGGTGGTGGGATCTATTGTCTGACATGATTCTTCGTGTGAGGGTGTTAATACCCTGAGTTTCTTGTTTCGTCCAAACAACAACACCAAAAGAATATGCAAGGACTGGTACAGCATAAGTATTTGTGGCTTTAAGTTTATTGCGAGCGCTCAGCTCTGAACTCCAGATTTTCTTAAGTCTACATTTGTACTCTGCCTGAAGGTTATCCTTGATATGGGCATTCTGGAGTTTGTCCCTAATCTGCAATTATTATTATTATTACTTCGTGGTCTTCGTCCCCGGGGTCACCATGTGGCTACAAGGCAGGAAGCCTAGTTCAGGATACATTGAATGTAGAAAGATATATTTAGAGTAGACACCTGACACTACTTAATGCTATTTATCGTTTCGACAACAACCCTTGTAATAGACTGACGTCCAAAAGAATCTTTACCAACTGAAAATATAAATTTCAGACAAAGTATATTTTTTTTTTTCAGATGAAGTCTATCTAAAACACATAACATAAATACAACAATAGTGTATGCAGAAAATGTTAATCGTTTGTTACATGTTTGCGAAATAACATGCGAAAAAGTGAAAAACACGTGCACCACGGACAACTGCAAATGCACGTGCGGGTAAGGGTATAAAACGATTGCAACGGCAAGTCAGACATCTACAGTTATACAAAAACACAAAAGAAATGCCACGGCTCACAGTCGAACAACGTGAACGAGCCTTGGGTATGGTACAGATGGGAGCCAACCACGCCCATATTGCACAAACCTTTGGTTGCTCCCGTGTTGCCGTTACCAACTTGATGCAACGTTACTAGGCGGACCGCTGACAGGCCAAGAACAGGCAGACACAGGGTGACCACGCCCCATGATGACCGGTACTTGCGTACCTTGCACCTCCGAAATCGCTTCCTGACAGTGACGTCATCGGCCACAAATGCCTTAGGTCACAGGGTTAGTCGACAGACAGTGGCCAGGAGACTCAGGGCTCATGGAATCAGGGCTTTTAGACCATACAGAGGACAGCTATTGACAGCGCAACATTGTCGTCTGCGATTGAGATGGGCCCGGACTGTACGACGTTGGCAACGACGTGACTGGCAGAGGGTTGTCTTCACTGACGAAAGTCGATTCTGTATGTTTAGGGCTGATGGAAGGCAACGTGTTTACCGCCGAAGGGGTGAACGAACGGCGGCGTGTTGCGTACAGGAGGTCGTACCATATGGTGGAGGGAGTGTCATGGTATTGGGAGGGATCTGTGGGCAGGAGAGGACATCGCTGGTCATCGTTGACGGAAACTTGACAGCTCAGCGTTACATGGATAACATTCTTCGTCCAGTTGTCCTACCATTTCTCCAACAGCAGCCATTGGTGTCATTTATCAGCATGACAACGCTAGAGCCCATACAGCCAGAATTGTCACTAACTTCCTCGCAGCCAACAACGTCAACGCCCTGCCGTGGCCTGCACGTTCACCCGACATGTCCCCCATAGAACAACTCTGGGCCAACCGGCAAGAACTAATCTTGGCCCTCCAAGAAGATGGCGTCAAATCCCACGTGACCTCATCAGACGACTGACTTTTTCTGTGCGTCGAAGAGTTTTTGCGTGTATTGAGGCATTTGGTGGTCACACACGCTACTAATGACTTGTTATTGAACGTGAGCGATTGTTTATGTACTCTGCCTGTTGTCAATGATTCTGAAAGCTCGAGTTCTGTACCACAACCAACTTTGGGGGGCTCTGACGTCATTCTCGGTCGCGGTATGATTGTCATTTTCAGTGTTGATTATGTTGATATATTGATCTTCTCAATACACTTTACTTCATGCATGTATGTTTTGTTGTTTTTGAGCAAGAGTGATTTCAAACTCTGGTAAAGTTTCTTTTGGACGTCAGTTTGTATCAATTATTCACATCCGTCGCACTCAAGTTGTACATTTCCAGACGATTTTAACGCATGGCAAGCGGCACCCATTAAGTCATGCCATGTGTGCAGTCACGACAAGGAAGTATCATGTTATTCTCATCAACATCGGGATGGGAACACTGCTAATTACAAATATAATTATAATCATAGGGAATGACATCCTAAAAGGATAATTTCCTTGTCGTTCTCGATGAACCTGTCGACTTCATGAGGCGACTGAGCTATGAAATGAGTCATTGTCTGGCTCCAGTTGCAGACGCTTCCTATCATGAGACAGTGAGTGAGTGAGTGAGTTGGGTTTAACGCCGCTTTTAACAGTATTCCAGTTATATCCCGGCGTGTCAGCTTAATGTGGGAGGAAAGCCCGAAGTGATGCAGGTCACAGACGTTTACCACTTCATTTAAACCCACGAGCACGGGTATGGTGCTGACAAACCTAGAAACATAATCGGATTCTAACCCACAATCATAGGTTTCTGGCGTGCCCAAGGGTCGCAACTCTGCACAGCGAACCGCGGCGCCTTAGACGACTGGGCCACCCGTGCCCCTTATCATGAGACCGTTGACGTCACATGACTCACCTTGATTAAAGTTACAAAGCTAATCGTAATCGTTTACATTTAAAAGGGTATATTGATAAAAGCGACAAAACATTTCCATGCTAAAAGCAGAGGCCTTTGTATGATTCCAACTATATCATAAGCACGAGCTTATGCATGATTTGGTTGGGTTTGTTTCTTGTTTACCGCCGCACTCAGCAATCTTTCAGCAATATGACGGCTGTCTGTAAATAATTGAATCTGGACCACACAATCCAGTGATTGACATCGTGAGCATGGATTGCTGAAGACTTATTCTTACCCGGATCTTCACGGGCTGTGTTTATGAATCACTATCAAATAGGGAACGTGAAGATCCGGGTAAGAAAATGTTTTCAGCATCCCATGCTTGCCGTAAAAGACGACTATGCTTGACGTAAGAGGCGACTAACGGGATCGAGTGGTCAGGTTTGCTAACTTGATTGATGCATGTCATCGTACCCAAATGTCCTTCCATTCCTTTTTATCTTCCTATATTTTCAGTTCACCATGGCATCTACAACTTCTGGTAAAGATACAACGTTGGACAAGGCTGAAGAATACCACACCGAAATAGCAGTACTTATGTCGCCTGTCATTATCATCCTGGGGATTCTGATGCTGGTTGGATTCTTCGGAAACATCCTGGTGATATATATCAATGCTGTCAGGCTGAAGAGAAGTACCACGCACCTGTTCATCATCGCCTTGGCTGTTGCTGACACTGTTGTGTGCACTGTGTGTATTCCAGTAGAAATCGTTGTAATCCGCTATCTCTACTCCTTCGACGTCCCATGGCTTTGCAGGGTGTTCCGTACGATTGTCCTGGCCTGTGTGATTAGTTCAATATCTGTTCTTGTATCCATAGCCGTGGACAGATACAAACGAGTATGCACTCCTTTCAAGTCTCAGATATCTTTGAAAACGGCGAAAATTGCAGTTGGTGTTGGGTGTGTTATTGCTTTGATTCTTGCGTCACCCTCCATGGTTATTCTAGGCACGAAGACTGTAAACAGAACAGTGATCGGCTACGCATGCGCCACGGATGACAGCATGATAAAGACTCCGTTTCCAGGGCTGTTTAATGGGATGCAACTTCTCATAGCCGTGCTTTCTATTTCCACTGTTACTTCCCTCTATGCCATGATCCTGAAGAGAGTCCGCGCACAGAAGAGGTACAGAGAAGGAATGAGTCCTAAACATGTTGATAGCAAGGTATGTTCAACACACTCTAGTGATGCGCCATATGAGACTGACACGTCAATCACGTCAACACAAGACACCGCAGTGCAATCACCACAGGGTAACATACCAACGAGTGAGGATACTGTGACATCATCACGCGACATCACGGTGACATTATCACAGAGTGAGTTACCGTCGGATGACGATACGATCTCGTCAAACGACAAGACGACATCTCCAATCAACAAAAATCCAAGACAACAAGATGCAAAAGTAAACTCTGCTCTGAAGAAGGGGACGCACAAGACCACGTTTATGATGTTTATCATCACAGCTGTGTTCATTCTCAGCTTTATACCCCATCTGGCTCTGATGGCGACAAGAGCCGTGCAGAAACACACGTACGATCATCTGGAGGGAGCACCATTGGCTCTGTATAACTTATTCCTCAGGACATACTTCATCAATTCAGTGTCCAATCCCATCATATATGGTTTCATGAGTGACACATTCCGATCACAGGCAAAGATTGTATTTAAACGGATGTGTTTTAAGAAGTAATGCAAGTACGTGCGAAAATATTCGTTCGGCCGAATTATGTTGTTCACATTCTACAATATAAGTTTATATTTAGTTGTCTAATATATGTATGATATTTACCCATAGACTGTCAACAGATTAACATATCGTGACATCGTGTAACTGGGTTGAATGACGTACTAGTGCGTCATGACCACGTCATGCCATAAGGGTTTACATGAGGTGCTGATGCCTACATGCACACGTAACGTTGTGACTGGATACAGTGACGTACTCTTGACCCATACCCACGTCATGCTGTTAATGCGTACACTGACGTATTGGTCATCCATAACCACGTCATGCTGTATGTGGGTATAATGACCTACCAGTGCCATCATGACCATGCCATGTTATAAGGGTGTACATGACCTACTGGTGCCTTCAAGCACACGTAACGTTGTGACTGGGTACAATGACGTACTATTGACCCATACCCACGTCATGCTGTTAATGCGTACACTGACGTATTGGTCATCCATACCCACGTCATGCTGTATGTGGGTATAATGACCTACCAGTGCCATCATGACCATGCCATGTTATAAGGGTGTACATGACCTACTGGTGCCTTCAAGCACACGTAACGTTGTGAATGGATACAATGACGTACTCTTGACCCATACCCACGTCATGCTGTTAATGCGTACACTGACGTATTGGTCATCCATACCCACGTCATGCTGTATGATCCATGCCTACGTATCCATACTCGGTACAATGACATACTGACCCGTGAAGATCCGGAGTAGAATAGGTCTTCAGCAACCATGCTTTCAGTAAACGACGACAATGTTTGTCGTAAGGGGTCGACTAACGGAATCGAGTGGTCAGGCTCGCTGACTCGGTTAATGCATTTCATTGTATCCCAATTGCGTGGATCGATGCTCATGATGTCAATGACTGGATTGTGTGGTCCAGACTCGATTATTCACAGACAGCCGTCATACAGCTGGAATATTGCTGTGTGCGGCGTTAACAACAAACAAACAAACAATGACATACTGATGCCATCATGTACATGTCATGGGGTAAAGTGATACAGTTGTGCCGCCATGAAAGGTGGAAATGAAGAGAGCTCTCCGGTTCTTTGACCATATTATGCAAAATATATAAACTCGATATACATCTTTACTTCCAGGTGGGGTCCTGGTTGGAGTAGGCCCCCAGCAACATGTGCTGGATCGAGAGGTCAGGCTCGGTGCCTTTGGTGATTGCATGTCACCACAGGACATGAGTGTACACCAGGGTGCTGGAGTGCTGGGATAATATCATGTGTAGACGATTAAATCCAGGTAAACAAGCTCCCAGAATATATAGTACATAATTTTACTTGTATTCACCTTTGATCCTTCTTTTTTAACACAAATTAGACGATTAAACCCCATTTCACATCACCTCCGCTTATTGTCATGAAAGCAAGGAGGGTATAATGACGTGTATATAAAGTGCTGGATGAGGAATATTTCTTCCTGGGATTTTGTTTATATAATTTGAGGAAGTATTAACATTCTGTTGCTGGATCTAGTTGTCGTGTGTAGTGTAGTGTTTGCATTCCAGTGGAGATCGTCTCTATACCATTTATGTACCACTTGTTACTGTATTGTTCTCTTACCTCTGTACAAATCATGGTAACTTTGTTTGTTATTACGCCGCACTGAGCAATATATCAGCTATATGACGACTCTTCCATGTGCTGAATTCTAAATCCTCACCCTCGACTTTATAGAAACGTCTAGTGCTGCGGAATTTGTAGAAACTTATATTACAATGGTATTAAAAAACGCAAGCATCAAGACATAACTTGATTATTCCGCTTTTGGGTCAGACAGTCAGCGATTAGACGATTGTTCATACCACAAATCCACAATAATAATGCTCACCCAAATATCTTCTGCATCAAACAAACTTACCTCCTGAAAAACAAACTTGCATTAAATCTCAGAATCTCCCCTTTTCAGATTTCTAAACTGCCTGCAACACTGGTTAAATAATAAGTTCAGTTGCTTCCATAATCCCAAACCAACGAATCATCCATAAAATTGTAAGCCAAAGTCGCCTACCATAAAACTTGCCCTGCATAAAAATGAGTCCCCGTAAGCTGCGGCCAGTTCAGCTCGGTAGCCACATGCTCAAACTGCTGAACAAGTCTACTTCGGAATCATCCTCAAGCTAGGCCCACTATTCTCATTGTCTTGACTGCCTGCCGTAGCATTCTTAACGTCTCGTTCTCTTGAGTATAAACTCATGCTCAATACCTAAGTTCTCACACTTCCTTTTCCATCTTTCTGGCTCTCTCTTAAACTCCCGTGTCTCTCCTTCTGGCTCTCTCTTAAACTCCCTTGTCTCTCCTTCTGGCTCTCTCTTTAACTTCCTTTTCTCTCTTTCTGGCTCTCTGTTTAACTTCCTTTTCTCTCTTTCTGATTTTCTCTTAAACTCCCTTTTCTCTTTTCCTGGCTCTCTATTCAAGTCCCTTTTCTCTTTTCCTGTCTCTCTATCTAACACCCTTTTCTCTTTTCCTTGTTCTCTATTTAACTCCCTTTTCTCTTTTCCTGGCTCTCTATTTAACTCCCTTTTCACTTTTCCTGGCTCTCTATTTAACTCCCTTTTCTCTTTTCCTGGCTCTCTATTTAACTCCCTTTTCTCTTTTCCTGGCTCTCCATTTAACCCCCTTTTCTCTTTATATGATTCTCTAACAATCTTCTTCATGTCTAGGTCCTCATTTAACCAAAGTCCAAGGTATCTTTAAGATTCAGTATAATCCACTTTAAACCCTTTACGGTTAGCACAGACTGTAGTTAGGCTCGAGATTATGTAACAAAGAGGACAAAATAGTTGTCTGTCCCGCTTGATCTTTAGCTAGCTACCTTTTGCACAACCCAAGGTGATATTCACTGTACAATATACAAGTTACACTTGTTTCCTTTATTTAATGTTAAACGACGCGTGTTGCAAGTGATAAAAAGTGAAGCGCTGTTAAACTTCCTGGTCGAAAGGCCCACATTCCTTGCCGCAGTCTCTGAGGTTGTTTGTCAACAACGTAGGTAAGTGCCTGCTGGTTTGTGATATCTCATGTCCTCTGTTCCCTTTGTTTTAGTGTAGAAGATGGGTAAACGTGATAGTTCTTCATTATAGGATGACATTTATTCTTCATGAAACCGGGTCACTATGACAACACTTCAAGGGACACACCCTACTGTTTGCCCTGACTATCCCGGGTGGATATGGCAAATGTGGAGTAATGTATTTTTCCGCAGTGGTATGAATTCTACTATATTATGACGAATCTGGTAAGAAAAACAGTGATCGATAGAGATTCATGTCGTGGGATACGTCCTTTTACGCCGCTTTTAGCAACATTCCAGGAATACCACTGCCGATGTAGGTGGCTTAACTCAATCCCCAGCTCAAACCACTCTAGAGTGACTTGCAATTGGGTCCTAGGCTGAGATCACTCTTGAGTGTTTTGAGCCTAGGCTGTGATCACTTAGGCTCAGAGCACTTCACTCTCGGTAGCTCAAATCACTCCCCGTGCTCAAATCGCTCCCACTGTACTATTTCAAATGTCAATTGTTGATTGTATTAATTGTTGCTATTATTTCGTTTTAAATGTTATACTAATTGTGTGTCTTCAGATGTATTTTTTTGTGCTTTATATGAAATACCTTCCCTTTCTCACACCCACACACATTTCATCCACGTGGAAATTGAAAGCGAGCATGACAAGGAAAGGAAAAACACCTGTTGTACATACTGCACACATCTGACGGCCTGAGCTCCTGGTGTTCGACCATCCATGACGTGACACTAAGCATTGCACACCTGTATATCCAGTCCCTTCACTATGACAAGACAGGGAAATCCGCGCTATAAATAGAGCAGTGGTCGAGTGAGCAGTAACTGGATAAAGATGGTTTAAATAAATAGATCAACATTGCTGTGTCAACAGAAGTCATGGACTAGCGTGGATGAATTTAACAATGTATTATTCAAACGAGGTCGGCCATATCAAAGGTAAAATTAGTCCATGAACCTGATTCCCCATGTTGACTAAATATAAAATCATGAAATTATATTTGTGTAGTAGATATCTGTAAAAAGCGTCATCTTCTCTTCATTTATCTCAGCAACATGCCAGCGCAAGGTTGGAAGGGGTATTTTTCTGCCATATAATTTAATCCGAAAATACAGCCTCCTTTTCGGGTACATCAAAACTGTTTATGGTGAAAAAGGAAGGCAAAAGGTTGATACCGCATTACACCACATTAAAGAGGCTGGCCTCATAAGATGTTTATTCACTGCAACGACCTCTACATTACAAGTTTACATGTAATAGAGCGGTGGTTTCAGGTATGAATGATCGATGGGATATTGACTTAGCAGATGCATCTAACCTGGCCTCTTGCAATGATGGTGTCAAGTATCTACTGATGGTAATCGATATATTCACAAGGTATCTGTGTACAGCCTTTGGAAAACAAGACCCTGACTTCGTACTGAAAGCCTTTAGGGGAATAGGTTCAACTGCTCCGATGCCTAATAATATCACCTCGGATAAGGGTAGTGGAATTTAACAATACAACGGTGAAAGGATGTTTACAGAGTAAGGGAATTAAGTATTATGTGACCCAGAATGAAACCAAGGCTTCCTACGCATGAAGAGCGGGACACTCTCAAAACAGCAATGTGCAGATATTTCAGCTACAAACAAACGTATCGTTACTTGGATGTACTGCACGATCTGCTGACAGACTATAATCACAGACCACACAGATAAGGAAACCCAAGATCACCATGAGATATTAACACGAAGAATGAAGCTGCTGTGTAGAAGGAACAATACATTGATACATTAATCAAACCTGTAAAATCTAAGAGTGAGAGTTAAGTTTAGATCAAGTAAGACCGTCTCATCTAAAATATACTTTTCAAAGAGACTATCAAGAAAGTTATAAGCCGTTACTATCGAGATGGTATACCTGTTCATCATATAATGGGTAGGTTTCTCGGCTGGATAAAACCAACGGATAACAACGATATCTGTTTGACATATGCGTATAGACATGCAAATATCAAATGTCAGTGTTTGCAAAGAAACATGGCGTCGCCCTTGTCATTCGGCGATCGTGTCTGAATTAACCACCGAGATTCTGGAGAGACTTCTGTGATAATTGCTATCGTTATCAAAAGAATAGTCTAATATACTGAAAATCAGTGTCTAACTGTGACGTAGCCGAGTCATTTTACATGTTTTGGTAACTTTGGGGTAATAAATTGCGAAGCAATTTAGCGAGGACACTAGCCTAGCGGGATCAGTTTCCAAATTACCATAGCATAGCATAGCATATCATAGTAGAACCATTTGTGAGGCAGTTGTTGTTTTGCCCATATGCAGTTACGCCACTGTATAAACATGTTTCAGTTAGAAACCGTTGTCACTGTACGACTGAAACATCACTTACCTTCTGACGTAAAATATATTTGTGCGCACATTCAAGGAAAACTTGCAATATGTTTAGTTTATATTTGTGAGAAATGTGAAGGGAGTATTCGAAATCAGAATAAGAGAATGACATTATATGATAAAGTGGTTGTCATGCTTGTGTGTTTGGGGATGGTAAATGTCCTGTATTAGGAATAAACACTCTATTCAACCTCTATTTATCATGTGAAAGATGTGACAGACGACCCGGTTCAAGGCAGTTTTTATGAAAACAAAATGGCGAGAAAGTATGTGGCGAGTGGAGAAAACACTTGTGTCCTTGTGAAATGGGCGGCCTACCCTAATAAGTTGGATTGCAGAGGCCAATCTTTAAAAAGTATAAAAGCAAAGGATTATACGTCTAGCTGTCATTTCAAGCTGATCCACTATGGGATCACCATTCTGTCCAGAGTGTGGTAAGGGATTCTCTAGAAGGGATGATATGATTAGACAATAAGAAAACTACTCATCTGATATCACACATACCATTGACACAACGACGACGACCACCACCACCACCACCACCACTACTACCGCAACTACCGATAATTGTAGGAATACTTTTCATTGGTGTATTCTGCCAGGATTCTGGCAGGAAGGAATAATTGTATTGAACGTTTGGCTTAAATAAGAAGAAGTATCGAAGATCAAGTGTTTCCTTCTTGAATGAATGAGTGAGTGAATATGGTTTTACGCCACTTTTAGATAATATTCATACAATATCACGGCGGGGAACACCAGAAATGGGCTTCACACATTGTACCCATGTCGGAAACCGAACCTGGGTCTTCGGGGTGACGAGCGAACGCTTTAACCACCAGGCTACCCGACCGCCCCATTCTTAAATGACACAGCATATATCTTTAAGAGGCCATCAAAGTATGAGAAGGTTCAGTGTGACCAGAATGATGACAGTGCCACAGTCGTGGCGACATTTGACTGGAAGGAGGCTTTTAAGAGGCTGTTCCGACCCATCCCGGGGATTACCAAGTACCAACACTTCAGGATGTCTTCAGATGAAACCAGGTGTGGTATCTTTACGGGACTTCCCGAGCAGTAATGAAGTGAGATTTACAATGGTTGCGGCAAGTAACAATGATAGAGCCATTATCCCACCACAAGGACTCTCCCATGAGCGTAGATGGTATTTTCATGATAAGACCTGGTAACACATTTCAAGATCTAATAATTAAATTTTCGTTGTGTTCATGGAAATTCCTGCATTCTGATTAGCTGAATTGGTCACGTGTTATTGCATTCATTTCCCAATGAATGTAAAAAATTAAGCCACGCCCACCGTGGCGCACTACTTTTATTACTGTGGAATGTCGGGGAATCCCAATATCACAGTCGAGGGAATTCCCTTTCTGCTCACGTGTATCGTCATGCACAGGACATTTAGCGACTTTCATGCTTATTCATTGTCCAAACTACCCTTTGAAACTGAAGGCCGAGAATGAATGAAACAGCAAACGTGCAGGCTCGCTCGCCTGTTTTTTCCCCGCTCGCCTCGGTTCAACTTTCATGTCTTCGGGTTTCATTTATAACTAGCATTTCTCCAACTGTGTTTTACCATAATCAGGGAAGTAATGTTTGAATCACGCAGTAAATGACCATGTTATTTGAAACAACCGCCTTCTCTCGGACATATTTCTTCCGGTTCGTTACAGTCTGACTGTTGCAGTTCTTTTCGCCTCTTGTCTTAGTTGACAGGTCCAATGAACATTGTTTTAATCCCACTCTCCGTTGATTGGCTACTGACTGTGTAGGCCTGTCAAGTTAAGTGCATAAATTAAACGATCACCTGATTCATGTCACGCCACTGTATGTATTCTTACACCTGGAATGTTTATCAATGCCGTCATGTTTGTCTGTTTTGATATATGCAACTGTTTTGGGTTAAACTATTGTAGATAAAGCATGTTTTACGTTGTCGAATTTAATTATGAGCATTGACTGTATATTTTTGTCGGTTCAATGAGGTATGAATCGAAAAACCGATGTGCAAACTTTTGTAAGAATCCGCACATCGGTTTGCACATCGGTTTGCACATCGGTTTTTCGATTCATACCTCAATGAACCGTAAAAAAATACACAGTCAATCCTTAAGTATTTTTGGTCCAAAACCAGATTAAGCAAAGCCCCAAAAGAAAATAAAGATTGAAAATGAAGCGTCACAGATTTACAGATTTAATGCACTATGAGCATTGATTCAATCATGTAAGATTTTCACAAGACCCCAGGCTTTACTTCCCTGTGAATGTATTATTGAAAAAAGATGTACAGTTTGTGTAATCACTGATAAAATAGTCATGGAGTGGGAGATAAGTATACTGTACGATGCATGACCCTACAAGTGACACTTTAGAAGAATTGAAATGTCAAGATTTTGAACATTATTAACATATGATATTGTGTGATGAATGAATATGGTAAAAATATAAATATTGTCAAGGGTTTTCTCCTTGATAATGTAAAATCTTGACCTCGACTCTTGTCTAAAGTGGGTAATGAAGTTGTTATTTTCACTCTAAGGCTGCGAATGATCTGACTGTACGTTCTTCCTCCAATTTGAAAGGTGAATTTTAAATATAAATAATAAAGACCGGAATAGTACAGTAATTTTGTAGTTCCAGGCCAATATCACTATTTCAGTATTTGATGAAGAAACAGGTTTGAGTGCTTGTTTGTATTATAAACAGTTCACAAACGTTTTGATTCAATTAAACACAATATGTATCATGAGTATTTTCATCTAACACAGAGCTGAGAGCTCTTTTCATAGGATTTCAGCTTATACGATCAGAATTGTCATGAAGCCTGAAAAATTGGTCTTTACAGAAAATGAGTCATGTTTGTTTGCGTATCGTATTTTTGCATTCCTAAGATATGTTATTTTTAAAAATAAAATAAAGTCAAGTGTGATTTTTCACCCATCAGGTCCCTTATCTCATGGTCGTTCATAAATAGTGATGTTACCAGGTGATCGCGAAAAGGATTTTATCACTTTTCATTTGCATGTGTACATACATCTGTCTAATACGTTTGTATACGTTCTATAGCCTCAGTAGTTCATGTCAACAATGGTATCCCTACCCCATTGAACATCCATACACACGAGATTCTTATCGTCTATACAAAAATATGCTTCCCCATACCCTTAACCCCCATAACATGAAATTAACCTTATTTATACGAAATAAAAATACTGACAAAATGTTGTCCTTGTATCTAAAACCCGCACAAACATTCCATTCCTTGTTATCTTCCTATACTTTCAGTTCACCATGGCATCTACAACTTCTGGTAAAGATACAACGTTGGACAAGGTTGAAGAATACCACACCGAAATAGCAGTACTTATGTCGCCTGTCATTATCATCCTGGGGATTCTGATGCTGGTTGGATTCTTCGGAAACATGCTGGTGATATATATCTATGCTGTCAGGCTGAAGAGAAGTACCACGCACCTGTTCATCATCGCCTTGGCTGTTGCTGACACTGTTGTGTGCACTGTGTGTATTCCAGTAGAAATCGTTGTAATCCGCTATCTCTACTCCTTCGACGTCCCATGGCTCTGCAGGGCGTTTCGTACAGTTGTCACGGCCTGTGTGATTAGTTCAATATATGTTCTTGTGTCCATAGCCGTGGACAGATACAAACGGGTATGTACTCCTTTCAAGTCTCAGATATCTTTGAAAACGGCGAAAATTGCAGTTGGTATTGGGTGTATTATTGCTCTGATTCTTGCGTCACCCTCCATGGTTATTCTAGGCAGAAAGACCATTAACAGAACCGTAGTCGGTTATGCATGCTCCACGGATGACAGCATGGTAACGACTCCGTTTCCAGGGCTGTTTAATGGGATGCAGCTTCTCATAGCTGTGCTTTATATTTCGACTGTTACTTCCCTCTATGCCTTGATTCTGAAAAGAGTCCGAGCACAGAAGAGGTACAGAGAAGGAATGAGTCCTAAACATGTTGACAGCAAGGTGTGTTCAACCCACTGTAGTGATGCACCATATGAGACTGACACGTCAATCACGTCAACACAAGACAACGCAGTGCAATCACCACAGGGTAACATACCAACGAGTGAGGATACTGTGACATCATCATGCGACATCACGGTGATATTATCACAGAGTGAGTTACCGTCGGGTGACGATACGATCACGTCAAACGACGAGACACCGACATCCCCAATCAGCACAAATGCAATAGAACAAGATGCAAAAGTAAACTCTGCTCTGAAGAAGGGGACGCACAAGACCACGTTTATGATGTTTATCATCACAGCTGTGTTCATTCTTAGCTTTATACCCCACCTGGCTCTGATGGCGACAAGAGCCGTGCAGAAACACACGTACGATCATCTGGAAGGAGCACCATTGGCTCTGTATAACATTTTCTTTAGGACATTCTTCATCAATTCAGTATCCAATCCGATCATATATGGTTTCATGAGTGACAAATTCCGATCACAGGCAAAGATTGTATTTAAACGGATGTGTTTTAAGAAGTAATGCAATGTGAGCGAAATATTCTTACGGTCATCTATGTTGTTCACATTCTACATTCAGTGTATAGCTAGTTGTTTAATATATGTATGATATTAACCTATAGTCAGTCAATAGAATAAGATATTGTGACATGTTGTAACTGGGTAGAATGACCTACAGGTGATCCATGACTTGGTTGTGCTCTAACGGGGTATAATGACGTAAAGTTCCATCTCACCCATGTCTTTCTACAACGGGTTTCAATGGCCTACTATTGATCTATAACCACGTCATGCTTTAATGCTATAAAATGAAGTACTGGTCATCCATTCCCACGTCATGCTGTCACGGTACAATGACCTACCAGTTCTCTAACAGTCTTCTTCATGTCTAGGTCCTCATTTAACCAAAGTCCAAGGTATCTATAAGATTCAGTATAATCCACTGTTAAACCGTTATACTTAAAGCAAACTGCGATCTGTGTTGGGAAGGGTTTCTAAAATGGACAAGTTTCGTTTTCTTCTTACTCACTGTTAACGGCCATCTATTACACCAGGCCCTATCTGGTGCAATCAAAGCGTCTGCAGACATTAAAACAGAAATAGTAGCATAATCAACCTGTACACTACACTTCAGATTATTAATAGCTTCAGACAGATCATTAGGTGATAGTTTGCAAGGCTCACATACAAAATGTTCTGTGAGAGAACCCTAACTGTACAGTTAGTATCAACATATAAAAACTGCAGTTATATCCATAGACGCCAATATTACATAATTACATATTACCGCAAACAGTGTCTATTTACAGCACCATACGTCTTTTTAAGGTCGATGAATGCAACAAAAGTAGGCTGGTTACTTATTTTTCTGCGTTGCACTGACGTTGTGAAACATAAATGATAGATGCAGTCTCGTCTGGTCCAAACCTTTTTGTTCATCTGCTTATGATTTGTTCTTTTACAGCCACTCTGTATTCAAAATATCAACATGAAGTGGTATCCAAATATTGTTATGGGTTTCAAACATCCTGTATATCTGTTTTCGGGATAGGATGGATAATGCCAATGTTCCATATTGATGGGGTTGCACCGTTTTCAAATCACATTTTATTATTCTATCATTTATTATGTATCATGATAAACAGAGCTGGAGTTGTTTATTCCCTCGCTGGTATATCATCTTTTTCAGTAGATTTACCATGCTTTAACTGGATAACTGCTCTCTCTATTTCATTTCTAGTAATAGATTTTATCCACACTATTTGCTGGTAAAAACACTTTGAAATCACTTGGACAGACAGTGTGGGTGGTGTTAGAAGTGCTTCTATTAGAGTATTTTTCCATTTTGATAACACGAAATCCTGGTCATAGCAAACCTTGCCGTCGTCATCAAAAACTTGTGGGATTTGATATTGGTTCTCATTTTCTTCCAAAATTTCTTTCCCGTATTCCCCGAAAGTAAGTTAGTTAGTTTATCCTGCTGGTTCCATGCACAGTTGCGATTTGTATAACGATTTAGACGATCAGACGTTTTCCAAGATTCATTATGCAATTCCCTGTCTCCTTTTCTCACCAACATATCCTTTATACTTTGACTACTGTCTTTTTCACATTGGCAAACAACATCCCATAACTTTTGCAGGTCACAATTCCAATAAAGTTTGTATCTTGGCGTATTGTTATCTTTTTTATTCTTTTTAAGATGTATTTTGGATAGTTTTTCATTCATTTCGGTGTGGATTAAATCGACAAAGATTTGGTAAATAAGCAGGATTTGCATCATTTTCATCATTCAGGGCAATATCCAGTTGATCTATGGCTTCTTACAGTATCTGCAATGACATCTCGTCATTGCATCAAGAAACCTTTGTGGGATGTATTGGAGGTCATATTTAATACAAGGATTGTTACCGTTTTGTACATCGATACGTAAGGTGACAGTAGTATCTGAAATGGAGTGATGGGACACTTTATTACATCCCATTTGTTGAGTTGAGCTAATCACATCGGACATGGTTTGAACTTTGAAGTTTGTAATATAACATAAATATTCATGGGAACGATAGTATAGTCAACAACAGCTCTACCTCCAGGTGAGGCTGACGTAAAATCATTCAAGCCTATACGGCCATATAGTAAAAATAGCGTCTCACCCACTGAGACGCCGACTCGTAAATGTCAAAAAGGGATTCATTAGCCTATGCCCAAGTACGTATACGCACATGAGAAGTTTTAAAATGAATAATTAGTCAAGCTGATTGTATTAAGGTGCACTGACAAATATAAACCGACTGAAGTTTAAGGATTTATTAACCCAAGCTGAAGCAAACACTGTTAAAAGTTCAACTCACACAGCATTGTTTACGTCTAACAGGCAAATATGCACAAGTTAGCAACACGCATAGTAAACTAGTCAGTTTTAATATACAACTGACCCGATCTAAATACACAGAGGTTATTAAATCAACACGACCGCCTCCGTGATCTAGTGGTAGAGCGTCCGCCCGGAGACCGGAAGACCTGGGGTCCGATCCCCGGCCGCGTCATACCAAAAGACGTTAAAAGATGGTACTTGTTGTTACCCTGCCTGACTGGCGGTCGGCATTAAGGGGCTAAAACAAGGACTGTTCCGCTCGGAGTCAGTAAACTGTGTCTGAGTGGGGTATTCACGTTGCGGCATCATATCTCAATGAGCTAGCACTATAAATCGTCAACAGTCCAGACTTGTACAAGCAGCCACACACACACATGCATGCACGTCGCTATATTGGACGCGACGTTAAACCTAATTTCACCTCACCTTAAATCTACACAGGAATAAGTTGCCACGACGCCGTCTAAATAGCTTAACCTCCATCGGTTGAAACCACCTGTTACGTAGCCAGCTTCTCTCTTCACAGCTGGACTGGGACGCCTGCCTTTGATCCGGTACACCGACACGGGTGCACGACCTAAGTTCGGGAATTGTCTCCAAGAGGATAGGTCACATAAAGCTTTTATAAGAGAGATCCGACAAGGCGCGGACGCCCAAGTTGGAAGCCTCCGCTCTAATGGTCTTTCACCCCATGCGACCAGCCTAGGCAAATACAGGATAAGTTGAAACAACTCAAAAAACTCTTTGAGACAAATAGGCGTGCACAGCCTTTGGGCAAACATATTTGGTTTCTCACAGGTAGAACATGTGCAGGTCGTGACAACGCTCCCGTAGAGACCCCTCTTGCTCATAAGACTATAAAGAGGTCGGTGTGACAAGTCGATACCAGAATTCGTCGACCAGAAGTCGTTTGATAGAATTACAAACAAATAAACATGTCAAAGCTTGGTAAACATGGCTAAATCATACATTCTCAGGCTCGAGAATTCGTCTTAAATGTCGTAAAGTACATGGACTAATGATGTAAAATAAATTTCAAGCATTGTCAAAAGTTAGCATTGCCATTGGTCTGTCTGTATCAACTCTAAGCGCATCAGAGCAGAAGGTATCGCAAAGGCGAGAGAAGCTTCGTTAGCCCAAGTAAGTCACGAAATCGTCGAGTGATCAAGTCCCAAGTTGATAAATTCTACCAGTGCGCTGTTCGCCAATTTGAACACAATTCGTATGTTGTGCGAAAACAACTGCCAATTCTGGACAGTATCTACGACATGATCAAAACTGATTTGCATTATGAGGGTTCCAGAGAAATTTTTCAGTTACATCTTAAACATGCTGGACTTAGAAAGCATAAAACCTAGTCAAATCGCAAGATGTTAATGGAAGGGAAAGGTGTGGTTGCAAGGCGCATGCAGTAATTACGTGCAATAAAAATACCGCGGTAGAAACCGGCCAATCATCTTTATTGATGAAACTTGGTTCCATGTGCACCACACTGTCCAAAAACATTGTCAGTTGGAGGGTGATATGTCTATTGATGGGGTTCAAACCCCGTCTGGGACCATACCTCGGCTAATCATAGTACATGCAGGGCCAGAGAACGGATTTGTACCAAATACACTGCCTGGTTGGGGTTTAATTCATCTAGTTGTCATCTACTGTAAACGTGAACAATTCTACATTGTACATTGTACTGGCAAGATTATAGTCGTTTTAAGGCGATGTTGACAATATCAAAACCCGTGTCACACAATCATTTTTACCGAAACAGGTTTGAACCGGTTTTAGTTCCTCCTTCGGCACTGAACAATCAAACACTCAAAAGGTTTCCGGGTGAAATTCATTGTAGTCGTTTTGTAGTGATGATCTCAAAATACCTCAAAATGTGAAAGTGTCATTACACAACATTAATGCAAATCTTAGATGTAAAGATGAACAGAGAGAAGTTGAAATGCGTATAAATAATATCTGCCATTGGGGGAGACTGAGGATGAATTTCATGTTTTATTAGTATGTGATAAGTATGAACATCTGAGGGAAAAGTATATCCCGAAGTTTAGTAGTATGCATAAAGATGATCAGTCTTATAAAATCCAACAACTCTGATGTTATAGGTTTACAAGCCATATTACTGGAGCCTATATTCCATCAGATTCTGTTTGTTTTCTCTTAGTGAAGTCATTGAGGTTGTTGGAGAGGATTTGGACGTTTTCCCATGTTGTGATTTGGGCAGTTGCCCATATGGTCCAAGATGGCTGGTTTAATGGCTGATTTGACGGTTTTGTTGCCTTTGATTCTGGTGTTGATAATTATTGGTTATTTGAATTATGATGTTAATCGCTCATACTGATTCGGAGTGTGTGTGTGTGTGTGTGTGTGTGTATGTGTGTGTGTGCGTGCGTGCGTGCGTGCGTGCGTGCGTGCGTGCGTGCGTGCGTGTGTGTGTGCGTGCGTGCGTGCGTGTGTGCGTGCGTGCGTGCGTGCGTTTTCGGGATGTAAGAGGGCAATTCCCCCTTTTGAAACATACTGAACATTTGTACATTCGTAAACATATAACAACCAAACCCATTTGGGAGAACTACACAATTACTGAAAGTGAATTGCCAGATGACAAGATGCACTCCTACAGCCTCCACGCTTGCTTGTACAATGTAATGTACGATTAAAGAGGACAAAATAGTTGTCTTTTCCGTTTGATCTATAGCTAGCTACCTGTTGCACACCCCGCAGGTGATATCCACCGTACAGTACACGAGTTACTTTAGTTGTTGTTAAACGATGCGTGTTGCAAGTGATAAAAAGTGAAGCGCTGTTAAACGTCCTGGTCGAAAGGCCCACATTCCCTGCCGCAGTCTCTGAGGTTGGATGTATGTCAACAACGTAGGTACGTACCTGGTGGTTTGTGATATCCCATGTCATCTGTTCCCTTTGTTTTATTGTAGAGGATGGGTAGACGTTATAGTTCCATATCATAGGATGACATTTATTCTTCATGAAACCGGGTCACTATGACAACTTTTCTCGGGACACACTCCGTACTGTTTGCCCTGACTATCCCGGGTGGATATGGCAAATGTTGGGTAATGTATTTTTCCGCAGTGGTATGAATTCTACTATATTATGACTGATCTGGTAAGAAAAACCACTGATTGGTAGCGATTCATATCGTGGGATACGTCGTTTTACGCCGCTTTTAGCAACATTCCAGGAACATCCCTGCCGGTGTAGGTGGTTCAACTCATATATTCCAGCTATATGACGGCTGTCTGTAAATAATTGAGTCAGGAGGCTGCACCGACCCATCCCAGGGATTACCAAGTACCAACACTTCAGGATGACTTGAGATACACCAAGTGTGGTATTTGTACGGGACTTCCCAAGCAGTAATGAAGGGAGATTTACAATGGTTGCAGCAAGTAACAATTTAAAACTATTATCCCACCACAAGGACTCACCCTTGAGTGAAGTAGTAGATGTCTTCATTATCAGATCCAGTAACACTGTCATAAAGTATCATTTCAAAATATAGTTTTTTTGTCCAAAAGCTGCTGAACCAAGGTCCTAAACGAAAAAAGATTGAAAGTGAAAAAGTGACTGATTTAAGGATTTAATGCATTACAAGCACTGATTCAAGCGTTTCAGATTTTCACAAGTCCCAAGGCTTTACTGTGCTGTGAATGAATCACTGAAAAAAAGATGATACTGTTTGTGTAATCATTGGGCCACCTGAAATAATGACAAAATGTTGTCCTTGTATCTAAAACCCGCACAAACATTCCATTCCTTGTTATCTTCCTATACTTTCAGTTCACCATGGCATCAACGACGCCTGGTAAAGATACAACGTTGGACAAGGCTGAAGAATACCACACCGAAATAGCAGTACTTATGTCGCCTGTCATTATCATCCTGGGGATTCTGATGCTGGTTGGACTCTTCGGAAACATCCTGGTGATATATATCTATGCTGTCAGGATGAAGAGAAGTACCACGCACCTGTTCATCATCGCCTTGGCTGTTGCTGACACTGTTGTGTGCACTGTGTGTATTCCAGTAGAAATCGTTGTAGTCCGCTATCTCTACTCCTTCGACGTCCCATGGCTCTGCAGGGCGTTTCGTACGATTGTCCTGACCTGTGTGTTGAGTTCAATATCTGTTCTTGTATGCATAGCCGTGGACAGATACAAACGGGTATGTACTCCTTTCAAGTCTCAGATATCTTTGAAAACGGCGAAAATTGCAGTTGGTATTGGATGTATTATTGCTCTGATTCTTGCGTCACCCTCCATGGTTATTCTAGGCACGAGGACTGTAAACAGAACAGTGGTCGGCTACGCATGCACCACGGATGACAGCATGGTAATGACTCCGTTTCCAGGGCTGTTTAATGGGATGCAACTTCTCATAGCCGTGCTTTCTATTTCCACTGTTACTTCCCTCTATGCCTTGATTCTGAAGAGAATCCGAGCACAGAAGAGGTACAGAGAAGGAATGAGTCCTAAACATTTTGATGGCAAGGTATGTCCAACCGACTCTAATGATGCGCCAAACGTGACTGACACGTCAATCACGTCAACACAAGACACCGCAGTGCAATCACCACAGGGTAACATGCCAACGAGTGAGGACACTGTGACATCATCACGCGACATCACGGTGACATTATCACAGAGTGGGGTACCGTCGGGTGTCGATACGATCACGTCAAACGACAAGACGACATCCCCAATCAACAAAAATCCAAGACAAGAAGCAAAAGTAAACTCTGCTCTGAAGAAGGGGACGCACAAGACCACGTTTATGATGTTTATCATCACAGCTGTGTTCATTCTGAGCTTTGTACCCCATCTGGCTTTGATGGCGACAAGAGCCGTGCAGAAGCACACGTACGATCATCTGGAAGGAGCACCACTGGCTCTGTATAGCCTTTTCCTTAGGACAATCTATATAAATTCAGTATCCAATCCCATCATATATGGTTTCATGAGTGACACATTCCGATCACAGGCAAAGATTGTATTTAAACGGATGTGTTTTAAGAAGTAGAGCAAGTACGAGCGAAATATTCGTTCGGCCAAACTATATTGTACACATTCTACGTTATAAGTTTATATTTAGTCTTTATATACATGTATGTATGATATTAACAGATTAACTTATCGTGACATGTTGTAACTGAGTATATTGACCTACTGGTGATCCACAACCAGGTGATGTTGAAACGGGATACATTGACATACAAAAAGACCCCTGCCCATGTACAATGACGTACTAATGCCGTCATGCCACGTCATGCTCTACCCGGGGCACATTGACCTACTACCGTCGTCGTGCCTACGTGATGCTGTAACTGGATACAATGATGTACTGGTGGCCTCATGGTCATGTCATATTGTAAAAGGGCAAGGTTGTGCCGCCATGAAAGGTGGAAATGAAGAGAGCTGACATCTCGGTTCCCTTGACCATATGAAGCAAACTATCTAAGATCGTCATATGTCCGAACAGCCACGTGGTGGTTCCAGGTTGGATTAGGTTCCCAGAAACCTATGTTTGATCGAGTGGTCAGGCTCGATGACATGGTTGAGTGCATGTCATCGTACCCAACGGAGTGACATATTGCTCATAGTATAGATCACTTGATTGTCTGGTCCAGCCTCTACCATTTACGGCCGTCGTCATGTATCTAAAATACTACTGTGTGTGGCGTTAAACAACAATAAACAAACATTATATTGTAATCAACACCCAGCCTTTCTTATTGTTTGTGATATTTTGGATAGTTCAGCAAAACAGAGGGTAGTTAGTAAGTTTCATTTTCGATAACAAGATTTGTTCTCATGTTTTACCTCTTTTGCCAGTTTATACCAGGGTGCTGTATATTTTTACCGAACAATGATTGGTGCTCATTTACACGTCACAAACCTATCTGACATCGAAGGACAGTTGAAAAAGTTTTACTCCACATGAGACATTGGCAGCATTCTGTCATAAGAGAGAAGGGAGTACATTTGTAGTAATAGATATAAAATATCCCAGGAAATATTGTGCAAGCATGTATCATTATATTCTCGTTTTGTTCGTTTGTTCCTTCTTTCCGACGACAAAATGCATGATTTCACAACATCAAAAAGGATTGTAACTGAGAGAGAGAGAGAGAGAGAGACACACACACACACACACACGCACGCACGCACGCACCCCCCCCCCCCCCCCCCCCCCCCCCCCCACACACACACACACAGAGTGGTAAGCGTTTACCCATTTAACGGTCTGGTGCCGCTCTGTTTCCCCTGCTTTAATTGCGTCACCACTCGACAAACTCCGGCGGTCGTCATTGTACAGTGATTGACTGGATGAATGTTATCTCTATATGTTCGCTACCATATACTTGTATTGAAAATGTTTTTGTATTTATGATTTAGTCACTATATGGCTATAATATTGCCGATGTGACTTTAAATATTAACTCACTCACTTACTCACTATTCATGATTTGCAAACATTAGGGGAACTTATATCTACATTCAGATATTTCTCATGTATTTATGGTCTTTTTTTGCCATCAATAATTGTACAAAGCATTTTGTGAATCTTTAATGATGCCGCTGGATATCTTATGTTCAGCGCTTTTTTTAGTACATTCATCTTCAGTGTAAATATAGTAGTTAGTTTGCTTTTCGTGTTTTCCCCGTGTTCAGAAACACACGTAAGCCAAGCGCCTCAGTCAGTTGTATTCCCCGGCGGTCCAGAAGAGGTTGCCCTCTCCGACGTCCGCGCGCAGTATAGCAAAGTCTTTCTAGATCTCGTTTCTTCACCCTGCGTTAAATCGTTCACGATTGTCTCGCTACTGGAGTGGTCACGGTCGAAACTTCTTTCAGTAAGTGGGTTCGTGGCTATGTCGATCTAGATTACGACTTAGTTGTACTGAATTCAACTTAGTTAATAGGGTTTGTAATACTTAGTTTTGCAAGTAATCCGTGGATAACCAACTTTTCAATGATTTCTAAGCTCTTAGTTACTAGTGTTTCTAATACTCCGTTTTTCTAGCAATCCGTGGATAACCAACCTTCCCGGGATTAACTAACTAGTTGGGAACTTTAGTATTTCCTTGTTCAGTCAAAGTGACAGAATCTTTAGTCGATTAAGACTAGTTGATATTCAGACGTAATCGTCTATTTTTGTAGTGTAAGTGACTCATTTTAGGGATACTCGTAAATTTGCGCTCATGAAATTGGGTATATCTTAAATTGTCATTTTTAGCCTTTATTAATAAACCTGTGAACCTATTACCACGTTTTCGTTATAACTTTATTCTTATTTTATGACACCCCGGATAATTGGAGCGCAGCTCCATGACACACACACACACACACACACACACACACACACACACACACACACACACACACACACACACACACACACACACACACACACACACACTCCGAATCAGTATGAGCGATTAACATCGTAATTCAAATGACCAATAATTATCAACACCAGAATCAAAGGCAACAAAACCGTCAAATCAGCCATTAAACCAGCCATCTTGGACCATATGGGCAACTGCCCAAATCACAACATCAACTGGGAAAACGTCCAAATCCTCTCCAACAACCTCCATGACTTCACTAAGAGAAAACAAACAGAAGCAGTCCACATTCGCCGGCAAAAGCCTTCAAGCAGCAGAGATCAAAGCTATTTCATCACATCCACCTACTAGGCAGCGCTTCCTGTGTGTAGAAGGGAAAAGGGCCCTGACCTGATGATGAGCATAACCAGCCTCTTTGCTGCACTTATTATTATTATTTAAATATGTAAACCAATAATAATAAACATCGTAATCATAACAAGGAAATGATATTTTGATCAGATTTTGATTTCTTGGCCTAAGTAGCTGACGAAGACAGTCTGACACCTTTGGGGAAGTTCCTGTACAGAACCAATACCTCTGATACTGTTGTGCAGCGATTCATGAGTACGTTTATTTGTGATAATGACATTTATGACAAAGCAAGTTCAGATAATGTATGGCTTCGTTATACATGAACAAAAAATATCGTACTTATGACTTTGTAAAACGTTTGGGTCGAACATTAATTAAGAGAAGGCGACTGAAATGAAATATCCGGGATGTATATAAGACAGCGTGATGTCTTCCTTATAACTTTACGCGCATGACACGCACTATTGTCCCGTGAACAAAAACAATGTTTAAAAAGCACAATTTTCCGCTCGTTGGTGAGGTTGACAAGAATTTATGCTAAAGTGAATGTGTTTTTTCCTTGTTTGATTCATCGTTATATAACCTATTCTTCCATTCCTTGCTACAGGAACATTTGACAAGTGGCCTGTGTACATATTGCAGCAATGACTCACGCCTACGTAGTTTACATCCTCCTTTTTGTTATTTTGCTTTGAGCTGAGGAGCATGAGGGAGGTATTTATGTGCTGCAACCTGTTACACTATTTCATCGATTGACAATTACCATGTGAGTAGTGAGACAGAGATAATTATCTATTGTCTAACTGTGACTTTTCAAACATTGATGACATTTACTATATCAACAATACTTTATTGAATTGGATAAGTCACAGTTCATTACACATGATACATAAGTATTATAAACCAGAAAACAAATACATTAATTACATGTTTTACACATGCACGATGTTATTCTCATTATATTTAAAAGAAACCATAAGAAAATTTACTTATTAAGATACAAATACTTGTGTTTTACTTTATGAAATGTAGAAGAATGTTAGACAGTTTCAATAAGGAAGTATTATCGGAGTTTTAGGTGATTTTTGAAATTATATCATATTGTTTCCATTTTACAGCCCTGCATTTTCTCTGAATTATCCAACGATGAACAGCACTGACAGAAAAACTACTCTTGGCAGAAAAAAATTCTCTGACAGTGAAACGATGTTTGATAACACGAGTACAGCAAACGCAACACTTACACTCGAACAATTTAGCGATCAGGTAGCCCTACAACTGACGCCTGTCATACTTTTTATAGGGATACTGATGCTGGTTGGTTTCTTTGGGAATTTAATGGTATGTTACATCTACACAGTCAAATTAAAGGCCATTTCTTCTCGGTTATTCCTGGTTGCACTTGGTTCGTTGGATCTGGTAATGTGTGGTGTTTGCATCCCGGTGGAGATCGTCTCTATACGATATATGTACCACTTTAATCACAACTGGCTTTGTAAGTTTTATGGAACACTTTTACTGTATTGTTCTATCACCTCTGGATCAATCCTGGTAGCCATTGCAGTGGACAGATACAAACTGATATGCAGACCATGTGGTAAGCAGATCACACTACGGGAAGCCAAAAGGGCCATATATCTAAGTTTCTTCGTGTCTCTTGTTGCTTCCACGCCACCATGGATTACGCAAGGAACACGGACTATACCAGTACCACATTCTAATATCACTGGATATACCTGTGCAACCAGTGATGACGTAATTAACACATACTATCCCATTATTTACCATGGATATCAGATGCTGTTATTTCTGACGGGAATAATTGTATTATCTTCACTATATTCCCGTATTCTAATGCGGGCAAGAAAACAGATGCAGTTTCGGGAAAAGTTAAAAAGGAATATTTGTGTGAGTAATGAGACCTTATGTGATACACCGTTGGCACTCGTAAGACAGCATCAAGCGCGGAATCCGGAAAAGGAGGAAACTCTATCGTCCAAACGTTCTAGCCGCCATGAACCGTCACTCACCGCAAACAAGGAATCACATCCAATGGCACTGGATCCTGCAGTCATGTCTCAGGTTAGACCTTATGATGCATCAGAATCATCAGTTGGATCTTTTGACGAAAGAACTTATACATGTGACTTTTCAGGTAGAGACAACCAGTTGTTAAGCGAACCCACAGACCGGTCAACTCGTTCCAGTCATGAAGAAGCAGTCACAATAAACGTTGTCTGTAGAAGAGGAAGCATGTCTTTGGACCAAAGTGATGTCACGCTATCGGAGATTGATCCGATAGCAAAAGAACCAGAGCCTGAAGCTCCAAGGGGTGTCATCAGGACGCCACAACGCGTCAAGGAACCGGGAAGGGTGATGGTGTCGAGGACGACCTTCATAATGATTGTCATAACGCTGGTTTTTGTGCTGAGTTTCCTGCCCCATCTCTGTGCAATTGGAGCGCGCTCTATTCTTAAGAAAACATTTGAGGATCTCGACGGTTCTTACCTGGTGTTGTATCATCTGTGTTGTCGCTCGTATTTCATTATTTCTGCAGTGAATCCACTGGTGTATAGTTTCTTTAACCTCAAGTTCAGAAATGAAGTTAAAGATGTTTTTAGAAGCATCTGTGGCAGAAATACATGATCGAAGATTGTACAGCATGCGGCAGTTAATATAACGAATGTTGATTTTCATCTATCCTTCGAATTGCGCAATAATGGAATAAAATGTCTTAATCATGAGTGTCTTTTTTTATTTGAAATATTCAGAAAATTTAGGCAATGTCACGTAAAGGGAACCATGGTCTTTCATAATGATACATATAAGTGGAAACGAGGTATAAACTGTAAGAGAAGGCATATTCACACTAAAATACAAATAAAAACTTTTTTAACTTTGCCATACTTTTACGTTCCAATGAAGGGATTTGACTATAACTCTAATTTCCTGTAACCAATGAGTTTTATTTCGGAAAGACCAGGATGCTGGAGTGCTGGGATATTTGTACAATTGCTTTCATGACAACATCATGCTGTAACTGGATACAAAGAAGTACTGGTCGCCCATGCCTATGCCATGCTGTCATGCGGGGTTCAATGACGTACTAATGCCGTCATGCCAGCGCCATGTTGTAACGTGGTAGAAGGACATACTGGTGGCGTCATGACCACACCTTGCTGTTACGGGGCACAGTTGTGCACACACAAACACACTCACAAACACGCACACTCACTCACTCACTCACTCACACACACACTCCATCACACTCACTCACTCACACTCACTCACTCTCTCTCACACACACACACACACACACTCGCTCTCTCTCTCTCTCTCTCTCTCTCTCTCTCTCTCTCTCTCTCTCTCTCTCACACACACACTCACACATACACACGCACACCTATGGATCCGCCAGTGGTATTTAGCGCACGGGCTGATGTGGATTAATTCTGTTTTGCATGGTAATTCATTTATATACTGCAAAGTGAGCTTAGTGTTTGAGGAAAGTTCAAAGAAGAAATTGGTGAAGCCAATAAGGATGTGTGTCCTAAGGATCACCGTCGGGGTGAATCTTGTATTCGTAACCAAGACCTCTTCAAAGGGACGCAACTCCCCACATCTCCTCAGACCACTTTGTATCCAGGCTGTTAGTGTTTATATGTTTAAGACCAATGTGGGTAGACTATTGTCAACATAGTTTAAAACCATTCAAATACATAAGTGATTAAGGAAACGGATGTTGCAAGTATATTCCAGGAAATGTGTGACGCCCATCTTTTAAAAAAGGTAGCAAGTTCTCACCCGCTATCGGTTATATTTTAAATCATAATTATCTTCATTATTGTGAAACATACACCTACATACAAAGCTCCTTTCTATTGATGCAAAATATTTTTCAATATATATATAAGCTCTGGAAAGGTTTATTTCTTATGGCGAATTAATATCTCAGACATCTTATCATTGAAAAGAAAAGAAAAAGCGTATTTCGGCAGAAATTTACAACATCTCAAACATGGTGAGGGGCATATGGTTGCAAATTCATTTCTTTCCTCAGTCTTCTTTGAACCAATACATTTTTACACAAGATTACCCAGCCACAACCCTTGCAACCCTTGCAGGAATGAGTGATGGTTAAATACACTCAGCTCAACTTTAACATTGTTTTTGTCCCATTTTCAATGAGTAAAGACGATATGACACCTCCTTTATTCTATATTTTCAAGAGACACTGATGTGTCGTTTCAGTATAGATGCTTATACCGTTATCAAGCAAGACTACACACACCCCTCCCACGAAACGAACGAATATATCAGTTAACTCTGTCTTGGTTCTTCCTGTACAAGAATCCTGTATCCTATCTCACTGTCGGGACAAAAATGAACTCATTACTGGGTATGCCAGACAAAATGCCACTAATGTCAAAGATGCCAATGCATACTCTGCCAAAATTGAAACGCAAAAGTAGTAAAATCGTGAATATCTTTCTGACTTGAAATTGCGCAGGATATCAGCCCAGACAGTGAGGAAGCGCTTACGAGCTGTAGGTATTCGCGCTCATTTTGACGGACCTGCATCGTCGGCTGCGACGACAATGGTGTCAAGGTCACAAAGTATAGCTACAACTGTGATGGAGACAAGTTTGGTTCAGTGACGAGTCACGTAAGAGGCCATTAAACATCTCAAAATTTCCAAATTTTTATTTAAGCAACCACTAAACTCCCCCTCTGGTCGCAAATCTCCCCTTTTGCCTTTTTATGCTACACTAAATGGCCCGGCCGGGCCCGTGTGCGACATACGCTTTAAGTCGGAAAGCGCACGTAAAATCTCCAAGTATCACTCACTCACGCCATTAAACATTATTTGACGTCAGGAATGGACAGTTGGTTGTCAGTTATTCATGTCTACATTATCTTGAACCAACATTTCCAAACTGTACCGCCAGCGGGGCTTTTACGACATTGATAGATGGATGTAAAATTAACTATTGAATAATTTTAAATATTTGAATAAACCTTCAAAGCTCAGACCCTTATTGTGTTCAGATTCACCACATGTGACCTTATGACCGTTAAGCATTTGTAAATCAGAAAGCGCCTGCCTCACTATTGACACTTTTGACCGCGTCATAAAACTTTCTTTCTCCTCTTTCTCTACAAGTTTTCTGATAGTCATCACTTTCAGGCGAGACAGTTGCAATGATATATTTATTTTTCACATCCTGCGTCGGAAAGACAGATACGAATATCACAGCCATTAACTTTAGTAAATGATGTTTGTTACACTATTAAGAGCCCCAAATAGCAAATAAGTTCACCATTAACCAAAGCGCACTTTTTAAAAGCAAATTCTATCAATAGTAATGGGCATCGCATTACTACCTGTTTGATAGATGTCCTCTTCAGTATGTACATGATTATGTATATTCGCAAGGGAACATTAAAAAGTATGCCAGACGGGCTGGGGTGGATTAATTATAAAGAAATCGTCGTACTTTCAGACGTTTATGAAATTGACCATGACGTGTGCCTCTCTCGCTGTGACAATACACGGAGGAAATATATACGTGTCATGCCCTATCAAGCGCATACGCTGTGAATAAGAAGTAAGGAAGGTGCAGTTTGAGACGTCGGAGGACATGCACTGTTAAATGAGTAATGACCTTTCATAGGAATTTATCCTCTTGAATTACTCAACAGTCAGCCGACTCGCCCACTCGATTTGCAAATTGTGTGCTTTATAATAATCTTCATTTCACACATTTTCTCGAGCCATGTGTCCATCTTGGTGAAGAGCTCCTTTCAGAGCTTGGCACCTCAGGGTAGCTGACGTTGGAAAGGTAGCATACACCGAAACTATGACCAAAGTCAAACGACACACACAAACTGTTTCATGTCCACACATTTTCTTTCGCAGACTTTTATACTAACACCATAATACATTTTGGTATTGTGTTCTAGAATTGTTGCGCCCTTCCAGAGACCCATGATTTTGCTGAGCTTCATGCAACCTGAAACAAAAACATCATTGTGGGACAGTTGGTCTTCCATTCCCCAGGTGATGAATCGATATACACTGAAGATGAATTGTACTCAGACAAAGATACACCATGTGTCATGCATGTGACATTCCTTAAATAATACAAGTATAGCTCATACAATTAAACCACTATCCGAACGCTGCAATATGGTTTTTTTGTATTTTGTTCAGTAAGTACTACGTGCTTCCTTACATTAATGTTGTTCTTGTGATTCATACAAACTGAACAAGAATGACTATGTAACGCACATCAACACAATGCACAATGCACGAGTTACGCACACTGGAGGTGAATTCAGTGTTTGCATGTGTTGGTGACGGGTGCCGTCGGTGGGGCAGGGCAGCTACTATCATCACTATTTGATAGTGGTTCATAAACACATGCTCTTGATATAGTCGGCGACGGTCGGGTAGCCTAGTGGTTAAAGCGTTCGCTCGTCACGCCAAAGACCCGGGTTCGATTCCCGACATGGGTACAATGTGTGAAGCCCATTTCTGGTGTCCCCCGCCGTGATATTGCTGGAATATTGCTAAAAGCGGCTTAAAACCAGACTCGCTAGTGAGGTCACGGCACTGTAAAGATAGGTTTCAGTTATCCAGTACGGTAAATGTCAAAATAAAAGGCCACTAATCATAACTGAGAATATTCTAAATTTAATAAACTAAAATTGGTTGTAATGTCACGTTTAATTTCGCCCGAGGAACTACTACCCTGTATAAATACGTAGTAGACTAGACAACTGAGCAAACGCAGCAGACAGCGAGTTCCAGTTTGGTTTTTCGTTCCCTTTAGAGGTCACCAAGTGCTGAAAACGTCAAATCTGAAAAACAGTATTTCAAGCGAGAAACTATCTACTCTGCGAAATGTTTCTCTGACAGTTTATCGGGTGTTTCAGTGGACACCTGCGGCTTGTATCAACCTTACCGCTTCTCGCCCTCAATGTTGCTATCAAGGACTATGCGATGTAGTTTATCGTAAAGGCAACGTGCCAGTCTTACATTTCGTGATTAATGTTCAAAAATGATAATGCATATCAACGCGAAACGTTTTGTGAACTTGGCGCGGGGGTTGTCTGTGTCAATGATACAGTTTTGACTTAACGAATCGGTTCACGGAAACTCGTCGGACTTCTGCCAGAACTAGAGAAGGTAGACCACTCGTCACAAGACAGCGGTATGACCGATACCTCCAAACAGTGGATTTGCGTAACGCTTTTATTACTCTAGTATCACCAGTGACCTCACAATTAACCCCGTATGACCATGTTTGAGGCCTGGCGCGACAAAAAAGTACGATGGATGGAATTTGATCACTGGACGAGTTTCTCGACTTATTTGGACTAACGAAACTACCCTTGCCTTTGTCGAGAGCGGACCGCCTCCGTGGTTAAGTGGTAGAGCGTCCGCCCGGAGAGCGGAAGGTCCGGGCTTCGATCCCCGGTCGCTTGTTGTTACCCTGGCTGGCGCTCGGTTAAGGGGCTAAAACAAGGACTGGTCGGCTCGTGGGGTATTCATGTTAAACTGCGGCATGGTATCTCAGTGGGCTAGCACTATAAATCGGCATCAGTCCGGACTAGTACAAGCAGCCACACACACGTGCATGCACGTCGCTATATAAGTGCAATAACCTTGGACGCGACGTTAAACCCAATTTAACCTCACCTTGTCGAGAGCGATACCTTCTGCTCTGATGTGCTTTAGCGTAGATACAGACAGCCCAGTGGCAATGCCAGCTTTTGACAGTGCTTGAAATATATATGACATTCTTTCTCCATGTAATGTATGTCATTATAGGCCATTGCTTTCAAGACAGGTAGCAGCTGACAGACGTCCAATGGGGAGTCTATCAGGAGGAAACATGGGTGACATTGTCGTCTAAGACGCCGCAATTCGCTGTGCAGAGTTACGTCCCTTAAGCACGTCAGAAAGCTATGATCGTAGGTTCGAAGCCCGGTTCGCCCCGATTATGTTTCTAGGTCTTTTCAACACCATATGCCTGCTACTGGGTTTCACTAAAGCTGACACCTCAAGCTGACACCCCGTGATATAACTGGAATATCAAGCATCTTTTGACCACCAGATTCAATTGGCACAAGCTCTGACCGGAGAATGGCAACGCAACCCAAATAACGTCATCAGAAGATTCACTACATCGCTGTAAAGGGTGTGTGTTTCATGCTGAAGGTCACACGCAATATTAGAGACATGTTTTATGTTGAGAATTGACCTTTTATTGACATAAGTGTTTCACATTTCACGATGTAAATTTAATTTTAGACCCCACGTATGACTTGTCGGTTTTGACGTCTCAGCTTCGCTGCTGTTATTGACTCCGTTTCATTGATGTATTAAAATTGCAAAAAGAATTTCCGTTGTATTACATCTTAGTTTGATACAACGAATATATTTGCAAACGTCAAGTTTCCTTTGTACATTAGTATATTATGAAGTGGTCATTTCTGATTGATTAAGATTACCTTTAGCTCTGTTCAATTTTTATGGAATTAGAAATAATATCCACCTAAAAAAGTATACAATGTTCAGAATTGAAAGGTTGTGTGAAACATATGTATCTTCTAAGTGCATTGCAAGAATATTATTCAATAGTACATTCAATCTTGCAGATTTAGAAATAGTGTAGACATTTCGTTATTTGTTACATATTTGTTAACATTTTTGTCCTCAGTATTTATACAGAAAATGTTTGAAAAGAATTAAGTGGTTATCTTTGGTGACATTTTAAACTGTTGACAACATATCCAGGTTAGCTTTTAGATTTTAGAAACCTTGAGAGAAGCCCTTCAACACAAGAACAGCTCTACTCCATCGCCTGTCATATATTAGGAAATTTGACCTCGTTGGATCTGAGTCAAAAAGAGATAAGTCGAAACACAGTATCAATCTTGCACACATTGTCCAGATGGCTGTTTCATGGATCAAGTGGCATGGCGGTGATACAAGCAGGCATTCCCACAGGATTTCAGCCTGATCTCCAGATGATCACCAGCTCACCTAGCCTTAAACGAAAGGAATATAACAGTGGCAACCTTGATCTTTACTTTGAAGAGGTAAACAGCTAGGGAATAAGGTGTTATGAAGCTCACATCTATGTGTTAGTATGTTAAGCGTTCAGCAAATAATATTGCAACTGGCAGATGTACGCATGTCTGTATTGAGTATACTTTGTGCATTTATTAACCATTAGGCCAAATATTCCCTTCACTCTAATGCAAATACTTGAGAGAAAATACTTGTATGAAAAAGACATGTGATTCTACAACATGGCGATAAGATGTTTAATATTATAATTTCTATGTGTTAGTATGTTAAGTGTTTAGCAAATAATATTGTAACTGGCAGATGTACGTATTTCCCATCAGTCAAGCATGCAGCTCGGTTCCATTAATAACCTTAAGATAGTCGCGGATCGCGAGGTTATCATGTTGTGACGTAGTTTAAAGTTGATGTGTTACCAACATTCACGTTAGCAGTAAGCAGGAACTGATCTTCCGTAAAAGCGGAATCATTTGTTTTTGTTTGATAAAGAACTGCACTTCTTGTCTATTTGACTTCTTGAATATTTCGGTTTTTCGATTGTGATGTTCCTGACATTCATTTATCCATTGAAGCTGAACTCAAAGGGTCACACAAATGATATATACAAACCTAGTACAGGGAATTAAATTTATATCAACAGAAGGCAGTGTTGCATCTTGTTGAGAAGTTATCGATATTCATTAAGAATTGTTAGCCTTTCTTGTAAATTGTTTTTGCAAACGTCCTAGTTTATATCATAAGTTGCTGATGAAACTAATACACATTCGTAATAATATATACTCAACAACAAAAGTTCCCGTGACAGCAATATTTTAGTGTAAAATTTGGTTTTAAATATTGTAGTACATGTATGGAATCAAGTTACAAAAACGCAACTGCTACAGAAAAGCATGCATTCCATGCAAAAATTGACTTTTATGCAAGCCCCATGCATTTCACTACCCAAGAATGGGTATAAAAGCATGTGCGTTAATGGGATTCCATATGCATTGTTTAGCATCGTGCTGACAACAACCACTCAGAAAAACAACAAAATTACGCAATTATGGTATGGTGTGGGATTACAGCAAGACAGAGGACCTGTTTGGTAGTGGTAGAGGGAAATCTCAATGGACAGCGCTAACGCGACGAGATCATCGGCCCTGTTGTTCTACCGTTTTGGCGTCGTCATGGCCCAGGCATTACCTTTCGACATGACAACGCCCGGCCTCATATTGCTCGACTTGTTCAGGATTCTCTTCAACAAAACAATGTGAATGTCATCCCCTGGCCGGCTCGCTCCCCTGATCTCTCACCAATCGAGCACATATGGGATGAGATAGATCGGCGCCTTCGGCGTCAACCACGTGTTCCACAGACACTCCAGGAACTTCGAAACTTGCTCCAGCAAATAGGGACAGATATCCCCTAGGACTTTGTGCGACGCCTGGTCCATTCCTTTTGACGAAGATGTGTTGCCTGCATCGCAACCAGAGGTGGACACACACGCTATTGATTTGTAAATTGACATTCAGCATGTTCATGTGTTGTTTTTTTATGAAACCACGCATTTTCTGAAGTCAGTATGGCAAATTAAACCATTTGAACTCTTACAGGAGTCTTTTATCTGTTGCAAACCGAAATTGTTTCAGATTTGGTAAAAAACATAACTTTGTATTAAATCTTATTCAATGTCACAGGGACTTTTGTTGTTCAGAATATGTACTAAATGTGTCCACAGATCGGGTGAAGTCAAGTTTGTGTGGACACGAAGGCAGGCCGGATTGGAATGACACTCAGAACACGCAAGTCGTTGGTTCTTGTCTTTGATTATTACAATCCAGGTAGCCTACATTCGGCAAATACGTTACTAACGATTTCAAAATTTACTTTAAACTCCAAACATCATTCTAAATGTTTCCTCCCTAGTTTGTTAGCATTAAGAGCATATCTCCCCTATACTATAGATATTATGTCATGCACTATTATTGCTTTTTTCGGCCAATCAGAAATCAGAATGCTTTCTATGTATCCTATGTACGTGTATTTCTATGAGATTGAAAAAGCAAAACTGTGTGACGTGTGGCCCGACTAAGACGGTTGCGGCAATCTAGGCGGTGAAAGTAAATATTATAAAAGTTGTAACTGAATATAGACACTGTTCCGTATATTCATATTCAATATTGTACATTCACATGACCCTGGAGTAAACGATACATAATCGCCGGATCTTATTCAAATCCTGACGTGTGAACACGTTATGAGAATTTATCTCAAACGGATCAAGATTTTTACTAGATTCTGGCCAATGCGAAGTTGTTTGAATCAATCTTGAATGTAAACATAAAACATAGCAGTTCATCGTACATACCTTCAACATAATATACATTGAGAAAATAATGTATGTAACGGTCAATATCACAATACGCTCAAAAGAAACATGGATGTAAAAGGCGAATCCATGGGCTCATTATCAAAATATTTGGCATTTTGGGATTTCGGCTTGATCATTGCCCACATGTAAACTTGATCAACCAAGTTATCTTCAGACGTGTGTTATGCTTCATGATATAAATTTAATTAATTTCAGATAGTTGGATAATCGCGACGCAAGCCTGGAACACGACCACCCATCGACATATGATAACATCCTTTGTTTACTCAGTAAATGTTTATTTTGATAATAATTCAATAAACAGTTGCAACATGGATAACGTTCTTGTATTGTCGTATGCCACAATATTGAACTCGTAGAACTAAAGGTGTTCACTTGACATATTTTTCACGTGGAGATGTGATTTAAATTCGTAAATGTCACATAGTATCAACTCTGAAAGGCCCATGGACACCTTTCAACGATATACTAGCATTTGCAGTTAGATTTCCTCTTCTTTCATAATTAAGCTTCTCCAAAATCGAGTATACGAAAGTCGTGATTACACTGGTGACTATTTGGAAGTTGCTGTGCATGACTGATGTACTTTTTAGAGTGGTATAATTATTGAAGCCTGTGGAAGCCTCGGTGACTGAGTGAGTTAGATCGATGACTTTATGTGCTGGCGGTTAGGCACCTCACTCTGGCAGTATGAGTTCGAATCCCGGATGAGACTTAATCCAAAAAGAGAATCTGTACTTCACTAGGAAAGTGTTATCCAAAAGATAACATTTGTTACATTGTATCATTATTATCAGTCGATGGTATGTGGTGCATAATATTATGGCATGTGTCAATATTATAAGGGTGTCAGTCGGAGTCATGTGACCATTTCTGCGATGTTTTTCTTTATAATTATTGAGTTTCTCGCTTATGACTAACATGTCAGTCAAATACAAAAATACTTTCACTGAAATTGCACGTTTGTATATTTATAAAAGAATGAAACAAAAAAAAAGATTAGGAATCCTGTCGAATGTCATATCTAGTCATCAAGTGAATTTTCTAACAATGAACCTTATCTGTTTACATACTTACGGACTTACGTGCACCTGTACTTCAACCAAAGCCTTTTTTTCTCTCATATCTTCAAAATCCTGAGATGAACAAACATACAGATGGAATAAGAAGCTTGCAAATACTTTGACTAATCACTGCCTATGTTTTTTTATAAGTTTCGTCATTAATACCATATATTTTCAGCACCACAATTTGAATACTGCATTCATAGTTTATACTGAAACGAAAAAAAAAGAAACGCAAAGTTTTGAAAAGGTATGAAAATATAGAGTTTTCTTGCAAGTGTCAAAAGATTTTTTTTTTATTGTTCCTTGACCAGTCATGGTATGTGGTTCCAATAGTTTTCCGAGAAAATCACAATAAACGTGCCACTGTTATAAAGGGGTAGCAAAATATTTGTTTCATCACTCTCTGCCAGTGTACATACATATCGATGCCAAGATTGACAACAGCGAGAGCAGACCATCGGAGGCAAGCAAACGAAGGCAAGCTGTCGGAACCCTTCAAGCTGACCAGAGCGTTGAAAATGTTGCTCATGTGTTCTTACGACAATTTACCGTCTTCAGTAGCATTTGCCTCAACCAACAGTACTGTTGACTTCTGATATCAAAATATTATTATTTGCTTTTGCTATATGATGTAAATGGTAACAGAAATTGGCAGCTGGATAATTCAGAGAATACTTGCTTTTGTATTGTAAGAGCAGTTTTTAAAGCACTTATTGATTGAAGTATTAACGTTTTAGCAAGATTGGCATTCGTCTTTCTCAAGTGGCACCAACACATTTGGCTGCGCAATGTTCAAACATATTTGTATGGTTGAACGCTTCATCAAAGTTATAAAGTTAATTTAGATTATTTCTCACAAACTCAGGATAGAGACTGGCATAAAATATTGGGGATCATGAGAATGAATACGATGTATTTTATTTAACCAGCAGCGACACAACGCTTTCCATATTCATAAGATTCCGACTACATCATAAGCACGTGTTTATGTATCACTATCAAATAGTGAATGTGCCAGGTGTTCGCGAAAAGGGAGCGTATCCTGCCCCACCGGTGGTACCCGTCACAAACACATGTAAAGGGAAGTAAATTGTTCACAAAAAAGCACGGGAACATATACTCCTCGACATGTCTACATAAATACTTTTTGAAAATTGTAGGCCTTGAATGTCTTTACCATAATCAAACAACTTCTGAGCAAGAGTTTGATTGACGCTCTTTGAAATCTTGGAAGAAAGAGCAAGCTCGATTGTTCCTCAAAAACTGTGAAATTTAGACAACAACGATTGAGCTGCAGGAATATTGATCGACATAAAGGGAAAGCTGACTATTGGAAACTTGAAGTAAACCCTTTTGTAATACAGTCATTCAGAAAGTGTTTTGTCACTCTGAATCTTTATGCATACATATAAATATGAAACATATGACACAGCCTCACTGGTTTCCTTTATTTCTAGTTCGGGTGGGTAAATCAGTGGAAGTGAATTGGCTATTTGATGGTTATTGAAGATATCAGATTATCGATGTACCTGAAGCTTAGGTTGAACTTCTTGGCCAAATTACCTTGTTTTGACTTTGCCAATCTGAGCAGAATTTTTGATTCATGTACATACAGAAACAGCTCAGCAGGAAGGGGGGCACAATTGGTGTCCATGGGGATGCCTACTTTTTGCTTAAATGTCGTACCCTTCAGATTGTACACAGATGTTATCAATGAGGAAGTCCAGCATTTCATTTATTATTTTCTCAGTAAACTGCAGATGGCGTTTGCGTTCATGTTTGCCAAATTGAAGATAGATATGTAACTATATCTATGGTTACCACGTTTCGAATCAAAAGCTCCTTGGATCAAGGAATGATTTTTTTCCTGAAGTTTACCATGTGGGATAGTGGTGAACAAAGTTGAAAAATAAGATGTTTGAAAAATAAGAATTGAACCTGGTTCTCTTTTGAGATTGCAAAATCCTTTGGTTTTTTTTAGAATCCACTTGATATTAATTCCACTTGTCTCAAATACTTTCTGTGAATATAAATAAAGTCTTTCCTTGATTGCATTAAGCATTATGGTTAATCGCTGAGACAAATATTTGATGATACATTTGTTTGAGCCAGCAATATATCTCTCTTTGTGCGGATTTCTATGTAGCTCCGATGGGGTAAAAACAAATTCAACCTTCTAATGTCAGATGTAAATTACACTGTAAGCTATAAACATTGTATGTATAACAAGCGATGTAATTAAGACTATAATGTAGTCTCTATTATTATGTTATTTCCTCACTCAAGAAGATCGTTTTGTAACCTTGGCCTATGGTCTATATTACGTGATGAATAACACATTTGAAAAGCAAATATAACCAATAAGTGGAATTTTAATGAAACAATTCTGTTGCTAAATATGTAGATAACGACATCAACGAATCAATTAACGCAACTGTACCGTCTATATGTTATGTGTACATTTATACACAAAAGGTCAACGCCGTAGTCAGTCGTGATTATCTGTCGAGACATATTCCACAAGGCGTCAACGTGATGAAAATTATATGAATGAATCACTGAAAATCAGTGATGACACCAGGTGTTCACGAAGAGATATTCTCAATCATGTATCCAAACCTGACCACCCAATCCATTAAGTAAGTGGCAGTAAGTGAGGAAGTGTAAAATGTCTGCTGTAACATTTCTTGAAATGCCAGGCCTTTGATGGTGAAATTCTGATTGAAAAGCTTAATTATCTGTACGCAAAATGTGCCCTCCGTGGAAACTTATTGAAGTATAAATGTTCTCAAATACCTGAGAAATGTAGACGCGGTAAGCCAGAATTGATCCCTACCGTTCGTTATGAAAGGGAAATTCAAGATTGCAAAATCAAAATAATCTCTGTTGCCGTAAATCCTAGTACAGAGATTGCCATCAATTTGAAAGTCTTTGCATAGGCTGAGTGAGTAATTGAATATGGTTTTCCAGTTATATCACGGTGTGTGAGCTTAATATGTGAGGAAAGCCCGACGCCTGTGCATACATCCAATCAGAACACTGAATATGATTTCTCAGTTCTTGCTATGATTTCTACTGTACTGGACTGGTGAGGTGAAGATACTCATTGGTCTTGGCATTGTTCCACGAAATGAAGACATATGTCCTGTCTTTGAATAAAGTAAAGTTACACAGTGGAATATGACATTTAGTCCCAGAAAAGTTATATTAATATATATATGAAGGAATCAATAGACTTCAAGTCATTCTGGACTTGAGTTGGACTCCTTTTGTAATTTATTCTCTCGGTTCTAGGAGACTGACTAAGTGGAATAATGCATGCAATTATGGCGAGATTCTTGGCCATGTAAACTACAAAACTCAAACTATGCATTATGACATCATTTCGCAAAAGCATCCCAAGCTTGACTATCACTTTGCAAAGATAATCTCAGTCATGAGTAGACCAGACTGTTCCATATAGGAACAGTCATTACTTTTGCCTTCTCTCACATCTGCCAGTGTTTCAAGGATAAACCATCTTTATGTCTGCTTGTTCCATTTCGACACGTCTTGTGCATCTTAGATAAACCAGTGTTGGTACTTCATGTGCCCATTAGATCAACAAGTGTTGGTACTAATCATGTCTATTGGATCAACTGGTATTGGTTTTACTTGTGTCACACTACCTATGAAATGCCGTTTCTTTATGTCATTCTTGGGTACATTGAACCTCCTCATTAGTGAGAATGAGTATGGAACACAGAGTAAGCTGTTTATACGAGGGCTGGTCAAGAGGTTCTAAGCCTAGCTAATAAAACCAATATCTAAAAATGTTTTCAATTTTATTTTTTAACATAATCTCACTGCTTTTAAATACACTTTTCATATCGATAGTGAAGCTTTTCAATTCCAGTCAGGAAGAATTTTTCTGAAACCACCCTGAAAATAATATTCACGGCAGCTTTGATGCCATCGCTGTCGTCATAGCGCTTTCCATGGTACTAATTATATGTATTGGATCAACTGGTATTAGTTATACTTGTGTCACACTACCTATGAATTGTCGTTTCTATTTTGTCATATTTGGTGGATGATGAGGGTCGTCCAGACTTAGGGTCATCATCAAACTTTGTTCTCCCAACCTTAAACATAGCTGCCAAACGTTTAACAGTGGAATAGTTAGGGCACTTATCCCCATACTCTTGTGACATGCGGTGATGAATTTTGGGCGTGACCTCTCTCTGAAGTCACAAACTTGATTAATT